AGTGGGCTGGAGGGAATAGAAAGGAATGAGCTCAAAAATTGAATTGGAAATTTATGATGTGTTAATTTAATAAATAGTCAAATTGAGTTAGGATAATAAATTCGGCTAAACCTTAAATAAATTTGTATTAATTAATCAACGAGCTTCTTTATTTTAGTAATATAGTTATTTTAATTGTAAAAAGTGATTCAAAATATAACCATAATTTAAACTAAATTAGTTAAATAGAATACTTACTAAAATTTAAAATATTTTGCGAAATAATCGTAAAATATACCAACTATATACATAATCATGTAAAATATATAGGCCATCTAAAAATTATAAGAAAAATGACAAAGCATTCAAAATAACATAAAATTCATACATTATTATTTTTTCGCAAAATTTATAAAACTAAAATTTTTAATTGTTTGGAAATTTAAGAAGCTCGAGAACTAATTTATACCGAGGAGGGTCGAAATTGGGTATCAACACATACAATTTAATAGATCAAGTTGAAATTAGAGCTATCTAATTTATATTTGCACAATAATAATTACAAAGGTAAACATAATTCTCCATTGAATACATATATGAGAGTGTTTCTCGTCGATCTAATAGAATATTTTATAGATCTACCAAAGAAAAGTAGATTCCATAGGCAGTTACCCATATTTGTTATTTCATGATCATTATCAAGACCTGTTCAAACTTAACATCGATAACAAATAAATTACTAATTACTACCTAAATCATTCGCATACAACCACAATTATGTATATATTACCATCACTTCAAAGACCGAAGATTAATCATTATAAACAAATGTAAAATAAAAAACAACAGGAAAAACAAAAAATATTACCGTGTTCAAATGGTTGAATAAATATAAGAGAATATGAAATTCTAAAATCAATAGATTCTTAAGAATATGTACTTAAGTGTGATAAGAGTTAAGAATAGTTCTTGCTATTTAAATACTAAGTTATTCGATTGACTTTTTTCTAGGGATAAGATAAAATTAGTTTTTAATATTTAAAATTTTAAATTTTAAAATAATTAGCCAAATTTTAAAAACTTACGTTTGGATAGTAATTGGAGAATTACCATTTTTAAAAAGAGATAAATTCAAAAAGGATAGTTAAATTGTTTCTATTTTATTTTTTCAAATAACATCTTTTTTTAATGTTTACTGTTTTTATTTTTATCTTCATATGTTAAATATACAAATTATGCATATTAATTTATATATGTAGATTATTTTATTTTAATAAAAAATTTACAGACGCGTGGAAGATTTTTTTCTGGGAATGCGTGGGAGATTTTCTTTTTCTTTCTTTTTAACATCTTCTTTTTTTTAAAAAAAAAAAGTTTTCTTCCTATATTATATAATGCAAAGATAAAATAAAACATGATAGTAATTTTCGCTTTTACAAAATCTTTTTATTTTTAAGTTTAATTTTTTAGATGTAATAATTGAGTACTTTAATTAGTATGAAATCAATTTTAAAAATTGTAAGTAGTTTAGAAAATTACAATTAGCTTTAAAATTATTTGTGAGCTTATAATATTGTTTTATATTTGTTAATTTTTGATTTTTTTAATTACAATAATTCAAATTACGGGGTTTATAAAAGGGAGAAGAAAATTCTTATTAAATATTTTATCAATTAAACAATAGTTTATTATTTATTCTTATTAGATAACTACCATTTAAAAAAATCAAAAAGGGTAGTTAAATTATTTTTATTTTATTTTTTCAAATCGCATCTTTTTTGGTGTTTACTGTTTTTATTTTATTTCATATGTTAAATATATAAATGCTGCATATTAATTTATGTATGCAGATTATTTTGTAATAAAAAATTTGCGGACGCGTGAAAGATTTTTTTTCCAGCAAACGTACGGGAGATTCCCTTTTTCTTTCTTTTTAACATTTTTTTAAATTTTTTTATTCCTATATTATATAATCCAAAGATAAAATAAAACATGATAGTAATTCTTGCTTTTATAAATCTTTTTATTCTTAATTTTAATTTTTTAGATGTAATAATTGAGTACTTTAATTAGTATGAAATTAATTTCAAAAATTGTAAGTAGTTTAGAAAATTATAATTAGTTTTAAAATTATTTGTGAGCTTATAATTTTGTTTTATATTTTTATATTTTTATTTTTAATAATTTAAATTATGGACTTTTTAAAAGGAAGAAATTTTTTTAATAAGTTTTTTTTTTAAAAATCCACCGTTTTATATTTTTTCATATATAATTTGTTATTTATTATTTTTTTATTTTGGTATTTAAATATTTACTGTGTTGCCGTCGCCTGCCATGTGTCATTTATTTGAAAATATTTTATCAATTAAATAATAATTTATTATTTAATCTTATTACATATAATTAATTTTATTTATTTAGAAATTCCTTTTTTTATTAGTGCTGACATGTGGCGTTTTTCTACCTCTTCTATTATATATATATATATAGAGAGAGAGAGATTTTTGTCATTAGTATAATTTTGTTAGTATTCTATTTTTTTTGAAGAAAAGTACAACTCTTTATTGAATAAGGTAATGACTTAAGTTAGAAAATTATATTTATATTTAAGTTTAATATTCAATTTTTTTTTGAGGTTGTTAATTAATTTATTATATTAAAATTTTAATCAAATTGACAAAACGAACTCAATGTAACTATTTCGACAATTCCAACGTTTACAGAGGAGACTCCGGCGTTTGCCACTTCTAACGTTCATCAATGGCGTCAACAACATTTCAGTCGTCTTCTTTCGTAATTCACCTCGTACAGCAGGTATTCGATTAGACCGTCCACCTCCATTCCGATTTGGAATCCATTGGTATTTACTCTTCTCTTCATTCTTTCATCCGTTTCGTTTCCCTCCCTCAATTCGACCCCATCTTCATTTTTTAAGGTTAGCCACTTTCGGGTCTCTTCGGATTTCTCAGCTTGTGGTGGAATCTACAACAATGTTGTTTCAAGAAAGGTAACCTTGCTTTCATGTCTTTTTGAAGCTCATTAAGTTCTTCCTTTGTGAACCTTTCTGTCTATATTGAGATACCACACTGTGATCACCTTCTGAAATACTGATGTAAGCAGTAATATTCTTACTTTGTTCAAAATTAGTAGTTCGAGCAGGGGCTCTAGTGTTTATCATCTGAACGTTCATAAGGGTCCAGCAAAGCATGGGATAAATTCTTCCCTTTGGTTTTCCCGTCCTTCAATTTATTAGGTTTCTCCTTGATCCGATCCACCTTACCTCCCATAACTTCATAAACAACCAACAATAGAAAACTGTTATCAGGGGGTTCATGGAGTTTGGGAGCATTGAGTCAATACCTGGGGTTATTTTGCCATCTTGCTCTGTTTATTTTGAGCTTTCTGATTACCATCACATGGACCTGTTTGATCCACTTTATCAAGGGAAGTGGGGGTTGTGGGAGGGTTAAGTCAATACCTGACTTCTCCACCTGCTGCTTTTCAAAATTATTATCCTGCAAATTTAGGTTGTTCATTGGTTTATAGAATTTATTTTGCTGACCATGGCCTTGTTGACCCTTGTTGTTTTTCCTTTTTTGAGTTTTCCACTCATCCATTTGTTGTTTGTCCATCTCAGGTTGTGTTTCTTGCATTTGTTTTGGGTATTATCAACACCTGAAACACTAGCAGTCATATTAGCATTAATCTGTTGAGGAGAAATTTTGGGAATTACCTGATTGCTGGCATCTGCAGTCTTCTTGCCCTTGATTTTATTTGCAGCTTCAGGTTCTTTTCTCTTCTTGTATTCCTCGTCTCTTCTCTCTATATTACAAAGTTGTGATATGTGACCTTGGTGTTTGCAATAAGAACAATACTCTAGTAGTACCTCATATTGGATGGCTTGCCATCTTCCCACAGTTTAGTGTTCTTCATGAAACCCCATCCAAACATGACGTGGTCTTTCTTTCGTAATGTCTATATGTATCCTAACTTTTGCCTAAGACTACTGATAATTCCCATGATCCTCTATTAGGCTACAAAGTGGTTCACTATGAAGATGAATTGGATAAAGATATTCTACCTGTGAATGATCAAGAAGAAGCTTAATTAGGGTGTAGGCACTAAGGTTTAGAGTTTAGGCACTAAGGATTAGGGGTTTGGATTCAGGTTTTAGGGTCTACGACCTAAGATTTATGGTTTAGAGTTTAGGATTTAGTGTTTTGATTTTAGGGTCTAGGCCTTGAGGTTTAGAGTTTAGTGTTTAGGGTTTATGCCGTAAGGTTTAGGGTTTAAGGATTAGGCTTAAGATTTAGATTTTGGGGTTTAGACCTTAAGGTTTAAGGTTTAGACACATGGTTTAGGGTTTAGGCTCTAAGGTTTAAGGTCAATGATATATGATTTAGTATTTAGGCCCTAAGGTGTAGGGACATTAGATGAGCATCTGCATCTTCTTTTTTTTTCAGAGTTATTTTGGCTTTTTAAAGTGGACGCTTCAGTAGAAGTAAGACGTGGTTTATGGTTTAGGCCACATGGTTTAGGGTTTAGGCTCTAAGGTTTAAGGTGTATGATATATGGTTTAATATTTAGGCCCTAAGGTGTTGGGACATTAGATTAGCATATGCATCTTCTTCTTTCTGCATATATTTTGTTTTTTTAAAGTGGACGCTTCAGTAAAAGTTTAAGACGTGGTGCAACCAAAACTCTTACAAGATTGATACCTTGTGTTGATGTTGGTGTATAAGGGACTAAAAGGAATGTTTCTAAGTGTCATTGTTTTCATTTGATTGTTTGTTTTCTTATATTCGCTTGTGCATCACTTGAAGCTTCTCTTGGAGGATCTGATTTTTCTCCTTCACATTAATATCACTTAGAATATATGAGACTTATTTTCTTCAAATCAATAGATAACAAATGAAATGACAAGATCTACTATTTCAGTTTTGATGTTGGCTCTAGTAAGTACACTCTCAGATATCAAATTCTGACCCATAGGTATCTACACTCAGACACATTTATATAGAAGTGAACCTTGAACTTTGATTTATTGCCTTGGAGTGTATACTAATTGCAGCTTCTGCTTCCTTTTACTGAAGGTCATCCACTAATTTGACACAAATCGCTGGAAAATGCTGAATAAAACATTAAAGTTTAAAATCATTAAATTAGTGTTTCAATTTCAGTCAACATTGCAAGATTTTTTCTCATGTCTGTCCAAACTTCATTTTGAATGCAATTCCTTTCCTTATGTCATGAACAATTGCAAGACGATTCTACTATTCCTGATAAAGGCTTTGTACTATGTAATTTCTGCAATACTTTCTTTAAGTTTATGTTGACAAATTGTGGGTGCTCCCTTCCATACACAGGAACGAAGAAGAGCTCAGGAAAGATGCTATTGTTGCACTTTGTTGCCTAGTTCATGCTCTTGTAGAGGACTTCACCATTTTTATTCCTTCTATTTTTTAGATTATGGTTAAACATAGGTTGCAGGTCTGCATTGATTTTTTGGGTTCTCCCTATCACTACTATGACAATATAAAGGCTTATTCTAAATTTGTTCTTGATAAGATAATTTTTGTGTAGGTTAATGATTGCAGCAGATTGTGTACCGCCAGTGAGGCTTATCAACAGAGTACTAAAGATGATTGGGCAGAGTGGATAGGAATTTCAACATTGAACTTTTGAAAGAATCACCTAGTCCAGCAATAAGAACATGTACAACACTGGCTCAACTACAGGTATTACCTCTTCAACATCCTCATCCTTATCAGGATACCTTTATCACAAAAAAATAAATAATACAAAACCTCTGTTTCATTGTTCATTAGAAAAAGAAACAATAGCTTAAAGACTTTATAAAAAAAAGTAACCGCTTCTAGTTGTCTTACTTTTTTCTATTGTTGAATGTTTGCAGCCTTTTTGTTGGGCGAGAGCTGTTTGCTGCAGGTTTTTTTAGTTGCTGGTCACAACTTAGTGAGGCTAGTACGGAGTTTAGAAATGACACTTTCTTCTCCAAATATCCCACCTGAAATTCTTGCTACACTTCTTAACTTGGTTAGTTTTTACACATTTTTCGATTTTGAAGATATTGATACATATGGTCTCACGAAATTTTTCCACCTGATGTTTTCAATTTGAGAAATTTTAGCATCTTCAAGGTTAGCTATTCTATACTAGAAGAAAAGCACCTATACCTAACAACTATTATTAAATCTGCAATGAAAGAAGTTGTTGTAGCACCTCAACAAATTGAATGCATTTTTGTTAAATGTGCAATTTTTGTTGTTGCAGGATGGTGATGCTGAATATTCACTGCTTGCAAACTTGAAAAGGTTGAATGATCTTCAATTGTCAAGGCGAATTTCCATTGAAATCTTGCATAATGATCTTGCACAGACTGCCTCCAAGGCTTAGCTCGAATGGAAAAAGGGGATGGATTTGAGTCTTAGGTCGCAGGTTCAAGCCTACACCATGCAAAGTGAAGCCCGATATTTAAGTGTAGAAGGGTAGAGGGGCGGGTCCATTATCCACTGAGTTTAGAAGGCTATGATTTGTCCAAAGGGTGGGCCACAGGCGGATTTCTCGGTTATAAAAAATAAGAAAAGAAAGATCTCGCAGAGACTTTCGCGAACTCCAGAAGTTTTGATGATAGGGTAGGTATACTGTAGTTTGAAAAATTCTTTTTTTTCTGTAGTTTTGCCAACACTCCACTTCTTTCGCTTACTGATTAGGTTATTGGAATTCAACTTCTTAACACACATTTGCATGGTAGTTTTGCGAACACTCCCTTTTGGATGGTAGTATTTTCTTGAATGACGGGCTCTTGAAGATGAAGTGCATTCTCCAAATTCCATAGCACCTCACCCATAGATGGCCTGTGCACCAGATTCAGCTAAGTATTTCACTGCGTTTCTCCAAAGTTGCTGAAGGAATCTGGTCTTACTTCGCCCAGAAGGTGGGGATCTATGATATGTTCCATCTATCTCTTCTCTTGCAAATTCATTGCCCAGTCAGCTAAGTTGACCTTCTCCCTCGGAAGAGATCGATCTCGGGCAGACCTAGCACAAAGAACTTCACATAAAATGGTCACCAATGGAGGAAGAAGAAGGATGTTGAAACTGTTTAAGAACTGTTAAAGACACTCAGCAAAAGGTGAAGGTATGCTCTATTGTCCGTAAGCTCACTTGCTCTTATCATGTCTGGTCATTTTCAAAGACAAAATTTTACCCTTTCTGGTAAATTAATATCTATTGGTTGAGTTGTCTATGTGTTACTGATTGCTATTTTGAAGATCTGTGGTAAAAAATATGAGATAGCCTGGATGTTTTGTTTGTTTAATAAGAGTCTTTTTTCTTGATTTCTTTCCTCAATTTTAACAGTAAGTCAAGGATGGAATTATCTGAAATATTCATTTTTTTGATAAAGAGTAAGTTATTTACAGTTGTTTGAAACATTCATCTGTAGTTCGTTTCTTAATTTTCCTAAAATAAGATTAAAATAGAAAGGAAGAAAAATGCTACACATTACATTTGGGAACATTTATTTTTATTGGGATTTGTGTGGAGGAAGACCACCAGATATCCTAAAGTCTTTCTTCCGTTTCAGCCCTAGTGGATTTTTATTTTGAAATTGAGGATTGTTCCATTTAATCTCTTTATAATGTATTTTTGTAGCTTAACTTATAAGATGCTCAGGCAGTTCGCAATGTTAGGTGTATTCTTTTTTCAACTAAGACAATATAGGAACTTCAACTAAGAAAAAATTAGGATAAGAAGAATTGCTTTAGTAAGTATGTTGCTACAAGGGCTCTACGAAGGAAGTGTTTGTATTAGGAGCATTTTCAATAGGTTTATTTTGTGTATTTGTTCAATTAGGCCTGGGGTCTTCCATTTGCAAATATTGTGGATCTGTCATTTGCATTTTCACATTGGTCTCAACCATTCTCTAGTACCAGTCTTGCAACAGTATTAGAGTATTGGTGCAAACAAATCGTTCCTTAACTTGCTAATCGTTCATGCATCTAGTTTTTTCAAGATCTAAAAATACATCAATATGGTGGAATGGTCAAATAAGTTGGCTTTCCTTCTCCATTTGATGTCTCTTTTCTACCAGTTACTTCCAAGGTATATGGGAAGGGCATTTATGTAGCATTTTGATCGCTTAGGGAGCAACATTTATAGCCACAAAAGGCCTTATCTGATTATTCCATAAGAAATACTCAATCCTCTTTTAAAAATCACTTTAGTTGTGCCTTCGCAGTCCAAAAAAGAAGTCACTTCAAATAATCATGTTCATTGAAGGTGACTCATTTCCTATTCAAGGAATGAACAATCCATCAGAAACTATACTAGTCAGTTTAGTTTTGTTTTGTTGTGCTTGCTTGCTTGAATTCCTCTTTACTCGATTCTAATTAGATTTTCACTGTTGAATCCTTTTTGTGTACATCTATTGAGATGATTTACAAATGCTGATGATAGGATGTTCATTCCTTTATTTGTAGATGTTTTTGAAAGTCGTGGAGCACCTTTGAATGTTGCTAAACCCACAAAAGATTCAAGTGTGGCTATTTTTTGACTAGGAGCTGTAGGCCTTATTGTGAGTATTCTTCACATTGCAAATAACCTTCTTGTTCTGTTTTGTTTTTTAATGCATATATATGTTAATCTTACTAATAATGATCTAATCTCTTTTGGTCAGGCTGCAGACGGAGCAAAAATTGCTAGTGCTTCAAGGATAATTTGTGTCGATTTAAATGCTAACTGATTTCAGTTAGGTAATTAACTTGTGCCTTACACATTCTCGATCCATTATCTTATATAGCAAAGCAACTAATTCATCCATTTTACTTTTATTTTACAGCTAAGAAATTTTGCGTGAAAAAGTTTGTGAACCCGAAGGATTAAAGTAAACCAGGTCAAGAGGTACGAATATCTTCTTCTCCTAATGGATCATTTTGCGAAAGAAGAAAAAGAAAGGTGTGAGTCATAGTCATCATCTATTCTTGAATTTTGATTATTTGATTAGGTAATTGCTGAGATGACTGATTGCAAATTCGATCTGAGTGTGAAAAGTGTACTGGCCATATTGATGCTATGATTTCAACATTTGAATTGTCCATGATGTATGTTTTCTATCATCAAATTTCCTTGATTGTATATTATTATTTATATAATAATCTTAACGAACATTGTCGTTATTAATTTTCAGGTGTGGTAGTGGTTGTCTTATTAGTATGTACCCCCATAAGGAAAGCTGTGTTCAAGACACTTTTGAACTTTTTAATGAAAGTACTATCAAAGTAACCTTCTTTGGAAACTGGACACATCGTTCAGATATTCCTTCTGTTGTTGAGAAATACATGAATAAGGAACTTGAATTTGATTAATTCATCACTCATACACTTCCCATACTATGAAGTCGACAAGGCTTTTTGAATTGATGTGAAGGGAGAGGGCCTTCGTTGCATCATCACCATGGAGGACTAAACTTACTGTCCTAGAAAAGGAGCTTCTAGCTAGTCACTTTTGTTTGAGAAAAGACCATGAATTGGGTGGAACACTATGAGAAGGATCCGAAAGCTGCAATGGCTGGACTATTGAACATGATGTTGTAGGTAATTTGTTAAGGTCCCTTCTTAAGTGTTCTTTGTCAATGAGAAATTATGTTGGTGTTGTTCCGCCATACTACTCCGGGATACTGAATTCTTTGAATGCTCGCCAGGACGTGTTTGAAAGTTGTGTGTTATATAACCATTGCTACGATGAGGAATTATCCACTGCTTATGCACAAATTTATGTCTAATAAAGCAAAAATTCCCTATCTTCTTAAACTCATTGTTTATATGAACCTATACCTCTATTCTCTTAAAATACAAGATTAGGTGCGTTTGTGAAACCTATTATGATCATGAACTATATATGGGATTGCTAATGTGTAGTATTTTTTTAACTGGTAACTCAAAGCTGTTTTCTTTTGCTTTTCCAGATTTTTAAATGTTTGTCTTTCTGATGAAAGAGGCATCTTTTAATCATGGTGAAAGGGGAGCTCTGAGATCTTGTATAAAAGCTTTGAATTTCTGGGCTACAGAGATTTGGTGGGAGTTACAAGACTTCACCCTCAACATATTGAAAAGGATTATAGATGAGCTCATTATCAACGTATCATTGTTCCAGAAATGGGCATCAGTGCAGTATGGAGAATTATAGTATTTAAGATGGACACTTTCATCAAATGCTCCCTCAAATGTCTTCCTAGTCTTCCTTCAGGTGCATTAGTGGAACTTATTACGATTATGAACTGTATATGGAATTGCCAATATGAAATAATTTTTGAACTAGTAACTAAAAGCTATTCTCTTTTGCTTTCCAGGATTTTAAATCTTCCATCCTTCTGGTTAAAGAGGCATTTATATAGAATGGTGAGAAGGAATCTCTAGAATCTTGTGTAAAGCATTGAACTTCTATGCTTCTGAGAGTCGTGGGGAGTTGCAGCTTGGTTCACTCTTCTCCTGATAGTGCCTTCTATGTTCTCTTTTCGTTAATCGAGTATTTTTTTTCTTTGTTTAGGTTGTATTCTTTTTTCAGAACATTGGCTAATCAGGAAAGCAACCCTTGTATCATCCACAGAGCTAGAAGATTTGGGGTACTCATCAAATATATGCAATGGAAGCAGCTTCCAAACTTGGTAAACTGATGATGGATGCCCTTATTTTCATGCATATGGAATTGAGAAGATCCTATGGACCTGAAGAGTGGTTGCCCTCAATGGATCTGATGGGATAAGCTTGAACTAGGCAGTGAAAGGACATAGCTTGGTGGATGGCTGTCATACGGGTAACACTTCTTTAATTCATTTAATAAAAGGATCTATTTTTGTCACAATTCTTGTGATTAATCAATTAGTGTGTTCTAACTTACGAGAACTACTCTACTACTTCCCCTTATGTTTTAAAATGCTATTTGTGCTTAGATGTAAACATTCTAGGTGATAAAACCTCAGGGAAATAACGTACTTTAAAAAACGAGGAACACATGATGCAGGGATGTCAAAAATTTTCCCACCAATACAAGCACATACCCTTTTAATCCTAAATTCGATCTACAAGTTTCAGTCTGTCACTGTCTTCAATGAGGATATGCTGCAAATGATTTGTCATCTGAGTAGAGTGGACATACATTTCAACATGAAAATAGTATGTAATTTTGGTTAGAGTAGTATCTCCCTTAGACTTTTAGTGAGCCTAGTCTTCCAATGGCTCAAGTTTGGTTGGAAGACATTAGAGTTTTCTAGTTGGTATCTTGTCGGGGCGATCTGAATTTCTGAATATTTGTAGCTATGGCTTGGCAAAAAGAACTGAAAGCCCCATGACATAATCTGAGCCTCTTGCTTTATTTCTCTATTACCAAAACTAACACGCCTCTTCTAGTCCTTTTCCTTTCTTTCACTTTAGAAAACAAATAGAGCATTAACATCAGCAATAGCAGTAGTAGTTGGACCTCATTGTGAGTGATGCACTCTGTTCAAAAGCACCTCAAAGTTCCTTGCCACAATCACTAGGCCATCCCCATGAGAACTCAATTTAGAACATTTAATATGAGGAGGTAGAGCAAGACTCAAACTGATTTATTGCATGATAACCTGCATTGAATCTCCTTTTGTCTTTATTAACTCAAATAGAGAGCATATGAAGTATTTTTTTTAATTTTATGACAGAATCTGTTAAATAATTTGAATAATGTTCAGTGATTTTCAGAGCTATTGCATCACTTTTAATGTAAAGTTATGCGTATCTTAGTTTAGCCTGTTAATGTCATTAAAACATTTGTCTGCTCCAGCCTCTCCTAGCTCAGCCTCTCAAACTTAAATCTGCAATAAAAGAAGTTGATGTAGCACCTTAAAAAATTGAAGGGGACTATGTGTTGTACTGATGCATTTTTGTTAAATGTGCAATCTTTCTTGTTGCAGGATGGTGATGTTTGAATATTCACTCCTTGTAAACTTGAAAATGTTGGATGATCTTCAATTATCGAGGTAAATTTCCATCGAAAGCTTGCATAATAATCTTGCACAGACTGCCTCCAAGGCTTAGCTCGAGTGAAAGAAGGTGGTGTCGCAGGTTTGAGCCCCACACCATGCAAATTGAATCCCGAAGTTTAAGTGGTGAGGGGTAGAGGGCGGGCCTATTATCCACTGAGTTTAGAAGGCTATGATTGGTTCAAAGAGCGGGTCACAGGCAGATTTCTTGGTTATAAAAAAAAAAATCTTACAGAGACTTTCAAGAACTCCAGAAGTTTTGATGACTGGGTGGGTATACTGTAGTTTGAAAAATTCATTTTTCTGTAGTTTTGCCTATATATACTCAACATCTTTGGCTAGTAATTTAGGTTATTGGATTTCTTCTTCTTCACACTCATCTGCATGTTTGCAGTGGTAGCTCGCCAATAGGGATGGTACTGTTTTCTTGAATGACGGGCTCTTGGAGATGAAGTGCATTCTCCAAATTCCTTAGCACCTCACCCATAGGTGGAATGTGCACCTCTACCATGCTCTAGTACCAGTCTTGCAACAGTATTAGAGTATTGGTGCAAGCAAATCGGTCCTTAACTTGCTAATCATTCATGAATCTAGTTTTTTCAAGATCTAAAAATACATCAATATGGTGGAATGGTCAAATAAGCTGGCTTGCCTTCTCCATTTGATGTCTCTTTTCTACCAGTGACTTCCAAGGTATATGGGAAGGGCATTCATGTAGCATTTTGATCGCTTAGGGAGCAACATGCATAGCCACAAAAGGCCTTATATGATTATTCCATAAGAAATACTCAATCCTCTTTTAAAAGTCCCTTTAGTTGTGCCTTCGCAGTCCCAAAAAGAAGTCACTTCAAATAATCATGTTCGTTGAAGGTGACTCACTTCCTATTCAAGGAATGAACCAAACATCAGAAGCTATAATAGTCCGTTTAGTTTTGTTTTGTTGTGCTTTCTTGCTTGAATTCCTCTTTACTCGATTCTAATTAGATTTTCACTGTTGAATCCTTTTTGTGTATATCTATTGAGATGATTTAAACATGCTGATGATAGGATGTTCACTCCTTCATTGCCCAGTCAGCTAAGTTGACCTTCTCCCTCGGAAGAGATCGATCTCGGGCAGACCTAGCACAAAGAACTTCACATAAAATGGTCACCAATGGAGGAAGAAGAAGGATGTTGAAACTGTTTAAGAACTGTTAAAGACACTCACCAAAAGGTGAAGGTATGCTCTATTGTCCTTAAGCTCACTTGCTCTTTTCATGTCTGGTCATTTTCAAAGACAAAATTTTACCCTTTCTGGTAAATTAGTATCTACTGGTTGAGTTGTCTATGTTTTATTGATTGCTATTTTTAAGATCTGTAGTACAAAATATGAGATAGCCTGGATGTTTTGTTTGTTTAATAAGAGTCTTTTTTCTTGATTTCTTTCCGCAATTTTAACAGTAAGTCAAGGATGGAGTTATTTGAAATATTCATTTTTTTTTGATAAAGAGTAAGTTATTTACAGTTGTTTGAAACATTCATCTGTAGTTCGTTTCTTCATTTTCCTAAAATATGATTAAAATAGAAAGGAAGAAAAATGCTACACTTTACATTTGGGAACATTTATTTTATTGGGATTTGTGTGGAAGAAGACCAGCAGATATCCTAAAGTCTTTCTTCTGTTTCAGCCCTAGTGGATTTTTATATTCAAATTGAGGATTGTTCCATATAATCTCTCTTTATAATGTATTTTTGTAGCTTAACTTATTAGATGCTGAGGCAGTTCCCAATGTTAGGTGTATTCTGTTTTCAACTAAGAGAATATAGGAACTAAGAAAAAATTAGGATAAGAAGAATTGCTTTAGTAAGGATGTTGCTACAAGGTCTCTACGAAGGAAGTGTTTGTATAAGGAGCATTTTCAATAGGTTTCTTTTGTGTATTTGTTCAATTAGGCCTGGGGTCTTCCATTTGCAAATATTGTGGATCTGGCATTTGCATTTTCACATTGGTCTCAACCATGCTCTAGTACCAGTCTTGCAACAGTATTAGAGTATTGGTGCAAACAAATCGGTCCTTAACTTGCTAATCGTTCACGAATCTAGTTTTTTTAAAGATCTAAAAATACATCAATATGGTGGAATGGTCAAATAAGCTGGCTTGCCTTCTCCATTTGATGTCTCTTTTCTACCAGTGACTTCCAAGGTATATGGGAAGGGCATTCATGTAGCATTTTGATTGCTTAGGGACCAACATTTATAGCCACAAAAGGCCTTATCTGATTATTCCATAAGAAATACTCAATCCTCTTTCAAAAGTCACTTTAGTTGTGCCTTCGCAGTCCAAAAAAGAAGTCACTTCAAATAATCATGTTCATTGAAGGAGACTCACTTCCTATTCAAGAAATGAACCATCCATCAGAAACTATACTAGTCAGTTTAGTTTTGTTTTGTTGTGCTTGCTTGCTTGAATTCCTCTCTACTCGATTCTAATTAGATTTTCACTGTTGAATCCTTTTTGTGTATATCTATTGAGATGATTTACACATGCTGATGATAGGATGTTCATTCCTTTATTTGCAGATGGTTTTGAAAGTCTTGGAGCACCTTTGAATGTTGCTAAACCCACAAAAGATTCAAGTGTGCTATTTTTTGACTAGGAGCTGTAGGCCTTATTGTGAGTATTCTTCACATTGAAATAACCTTCTTGTTCTGTTTTGTTTTTTAATCCATATATATATGTTAATCTTACTAATAATGATCTAATCTCTTTTGGTCAGGCTGCAGACGGAGCAAAAATTGCTAGTGCTTCAAGGATAATTTGTGTCGATTTAAATGCGAGCTGATTTCAGTTAGGTAATTAACTTGTGCCTTACACATTCTCGATCCATTATCTTATATAGCAAAGCAACTAATTCATCCATTTTACTTTTATTTTACAGCTAAGAAATTTTGCGTGAAAAAGTTTATGAACCCGAAGGATTAAAGTAAACCAGGTCAAGAGGTACGAATATCTTCTTCTCCTAATGGATCATTTTGCGAAAGAAGAAAAAGACAGGTGTGAGTCATAGTCATCATCTATTCTTGAATTTTGATTATTTGATTAGGTAATTGCTGAGATGACTGATTGCAAATTCGATCTGAGTGTGAAAAGTGTACTGGCCATATTGATGCTATGATTTCAGCATTTGAATTGTCCATGATGTATGTTTTCTATCATAAAATTTCCTTGATTGTATATTATTATTTATATAATAATCTTAACGAACATTATCGTTATTAATTTTCAGGTGTGGTAGTAGCTGTTCTTATTGGTATGTACCCCATAAGGAAGCTGTGTTCAAGACACTTTTGAACTTTTCAATGAAAGTACTATCAAAGTAACCTTCTTTTGAAACTGGACACATCGTCCGGATATTCCTTCTTTTATTGAGAAATACATGAATAAGGAACTTGAATTTGAGAAATTCATCACTCATACACTTCCCATACTATGAAATCGACAAGGCTTTTTGAATTAATGTGAAGGGAGAGGGCCTTCGTTTCATCATCACCATGGAGGACTAAACTTACTGTCCTAGAAACGGAGCTTCTAGCTAGTCGCTTTTGTTTGAGAAAAGACCATGAATTGGGTGGAACACTATGCGAAGGATCCGAAAGCTGCAATGGCTGGACTATTGAACATGATGTTGTAGGTAATTTGGTAAGGTCCCTTCTTAAGTGTTCTTTGTCAATGAGAAATTATGTTGGTGTTGTTCCGCCATACTACTCTGGCATACTGAATTCTTTGAATGCTCGCCAGGACGTGTTTGAAAGTTCTATGTTATATAACCATAGCTATGATGAGGAATTATCCACTGCTTATGCACAAATTTATGTCTAATAAAGCAAAAATTCCCTATCTTCTTAAACTCATTGTTTATATGAACCTATACCTCTATTCTCTTAAAATACAAGATTAGGTGCGTTTGTGAAACCTATTACGATCATGAACTATATATGGAATTGCTAATGTGTAGTATTTTTTTAACTGGTAACTCAAAGCTGTTTTCTTTTGCTTTTCCAGATTTTTAAATGTTTGTCTTTCTGATGAACGAGGCATCTTTTAATCATGGTGAAAGGGAAGCTCTGAGATCTTGTATAAAAGCTTTGAATTTTTGGGCTACAGAGATTTGGTGGGAGTTACAAGACTTCACCCTCAACAGGTTTGAGCCCCACACTATGCAAAGTGAAGCCCGGAGTTTAAGTGGAGAGGGGTAGAGAGCGGGCATATTATCCACTGAGTTTAGAAGGCTATGATTGGTCCAAAGAGTGGGTCACAGGCGAATTTCTCGGTTATAAAAAAAAGAATCTTGCAGAGACTTTTAAGAACTCCAGAAGTTTAGATGACTGGGTGGGAATACTGTAGTTTGAAAAATTCATTTTTATGTAGTTTTGCCAATAAATACTCAACATCTTTGGTTAGTACTTTAGGTTATTGGATTTCTTCTTCTTCACACGCATCTGCATGTTTGCAGTGGTAGCTCGCCAATAGGGATGGTACTATTTTCTTGAATGACGGGCTCTTGGAGATGAAGTGCATTCTCCAAATTCCTTAGCACCTCACCCATAGATGGGGTGTGCACCAGATTCAGCTAAGTATTAACTGCGTTTCTCCAAACTTACTGAAGGAATCTAGTCTTACATTGCCCAGAAGGTCGGGATCTATGATATGTTCCATCTATCTCTTCTCTTGCAAATTCATTGCCCAGTCAGCTAAGTTGACCTTCTCCCTCGGAAGAGATCGATCTCGGGCAGACCTAGCATAAAGAACTTCACATAAAATGGTCACAAATGGAGTAAGAAGAAGGATGTTGAAACTGTTTAAGAACTGTTAAAGACACTCAGCAAAAGGTGAAGGTATGCTCTATTGTCCTTAAGCTCACTTGCTCTTATCATGTCTTGTCATTTTCAAAGACAAAATTTTACCCTTTCTGGTAATACGTATCTATTAGTTGAGTTGTCTATGTTTTACTGATTGCTATTTTAAAGATCTGTAGTAAAAAATATGAGATAGCCTGGATGTTTTGTTTGTTTGATAAGAGTCTTTTTTCCTGATTTCTTTCCTCAATTTTAACAGTAAGTCAAGGATGGAGTTATCTGAAATATTCATTTTTTTGATAAAGAGTAAGTTATTTACAGTTGTTTGAAACATTCA